TATATATATATATATATATATATATATAGCTCTAATCAATCAATAACAGATACTCCTCATTTCACTTTATTATGTGTTTAAAGAGCAACTGTAGTCTAATTTTTCTATTCCAACCTTTAGAACCACCATGGGCAAGACCAAAGAGCTGGAGTGGGCTACAAGACCATCAGCAAGAAGCTTGGTGAAAAGTTGACAACTGCTGTTACTATTATTTGGAAATAAAGGAAATATAAAATGACCATCATTGCCTCAAGGAGTGAGGATGACCATGAGAAAGGTGGTTGATCAGCCTAAGACTGCACAGGTGGAGCTTGTTAATGATCTGGAGGCAGTTGGGACCACAATCACCAAGAACATTTTTGTTATAACACTACATCACAATGAACTGTAATCTCGAAGTGTCAACAAGGTCCTTGTGCTAATGAAGGCACACGTATAGGTCTGTTGCAAGTTTGCCAGTGAAGATCTAAAAGATTCAGAGAAGGTTTGGGAGAAAGCTCTTTGGCATCAGCTCACCCTGCCGTGTTTGGAGGCAAAGTGATGCTGAGTATGACCCAAAGAACGCCATCCCCACAGTCAAGCACAGAGGTAGAAAAATGCTGTGGGGCTGTTTTTTTGTTTTCATCACATTGAGAGGACAATGGACATGTACCACAAAATCCCAGATGAGAACCTCCTTCTCTCAGCCAGAACAGTTAACATGAGTCAAGGATGGGTCTTCCAGCACGACAGTGACCCAAAACACATCACCAACGTAACAAAGGAGTAATTAAAGAAGAAGACCATTATGATTATGGAGTAGCCTAGCCAGTCTCCAGACCTCAATCCTATAGAAAATCTGTTCCAATCTCTTCATGTATTTGGTCTTCTTCACACACAAAGCTAGGACATCTTACTATTGATCACTGATTGAAGAAAATAAGAACGATTTGGTTCGTCTTCAGCATGTAGCCAGGCTGACAAAGAGTCAGAGCTCTGTTGAACCAAACATTCCTTTAACCTTAACTACTAATGACTTCACAAGTTTCATTAAAAATAATTCTGTAACCATTTGAGAAAAAAATATTGATAAGAAAAACATCACATATAGATATTTATAATACTATTTATATTACTGTACGGTCTTTACCTAATATAAAATGACTTGAGGTGACTGCTATTGTGATTTGGTGCCGTATAAATATAACTGAATTGAATTATTGACTTCAAGAAACATCTTACCATTGTGCTTTCCTACAAGGCTTTCTCCATCAAGTACCAACTTAAGTTTTGCTTGGGGATCAATTTATAACTTGTGACTTATGTGATGTATTTGTTTTCTGGATTTAGAGGCATTTCTTTGGAAGTGAGCAAACCTAAAAATTCAGCAGTGTATTTTTTCCCCAGGAAATTTAATTTGCAGACCCTTTAGAGAGGAAAATGATTGCATTTGGCTAACCTAGTCAAATAAATACCTCATAAATTCATGGGAATTTTTGCATTCATTTAACACTCATTTGCAATACAAAAAGAGTCGTTATTTAAGGCAATACTGTATAATGCCAAACCTAAATTATTTTATTGTGTTGTAATCTTTTTAAAATAGTTCTAAAAGCAAAGGAAAACTGTTTTGCAGTATAAATCAATAACTTTGCAGCACTGTGGCATTACTTATTCTCTTTTCAGGACGCATACCTTTTGTAGAAGTTTAAACAGAATGTCATGAGAGTAACCTCCATTTGTCTCATCATCTTTTTTACACTTCCACTTCAACTGGAGGAGAGAAAGAGAGAGGAAAGGCTAATATTAGTCAAGAAAGTTTTCATGAGCTAAAGAAGTGCATGATAATGTCTAATCATTAGAACACATTGATTAAAGTCAGCTGACAAAGAGGCCAAGCGTGCCAGGCGGGCTCGCCTCTGATGAGACACAGATTACAAAAACCATCAGCACACGCTGGAGCTACGAGAAAAAGACATTATTAAGCTCTTGGAACATCACCATGGCACCACCTGCAAGACCTGCAGTCAATTTCCATTCATACCGAAAGCACCAGATAAATGAGTGAAATTCAAAACATGGACACCTGGACTACAGAAAATGTGGTGACTCACTTGCTTTAACTATCATAAATTAATCAAGAAATAATCCAAAGCAGTTCAATGTCTAAGAACGTGTTTGGTCACAGGCAAAAGAGAGGAAGTCCTCCTCTACTATGTGAACTGTGGTCAACTTCTTTGCTTACATAACAATGTTAGTGTGTCTTTAGTTTAAAAAGAAATTGAAAAACATATGAACCCCGTTTGGAGTTCTGTCACTAAAAGCTCATGCGAGTTCCTGCACTCCTAAAAAACAAGACAGATATTGTGTAACTTCTCATATGCATGTACAAAGAACAGGGAAATGAGGCAAATATCACAGCAACTGCTCGGAGTAGTATTATAAATGGCAAGCGCTAACTGTTGGTTCAGCTCCAGCATTCTGCTCACTGTCAGAGCAGCAGGATTTCTGGGAACTTCCAAGTGCAAATGGAGTCTTTTTACCAGCAATTACGGCTGAAAATGTCCATCTAAGAGCATTCTCTTCTCCCCACCGATAACCTCCTTACCCGGTAATCGTCAAATAAAATGCTAAGGTATTTCTATGATGTGATGTCTGTGATTTCAGCCTGCAACACAGAAACACTGCTGCGTTTGCTCAAAATTTAGATCTATTCTTCAAAAAGCGAGTCATCAACACAGCTGATAATTATGCTAAGGTCATAGAGAACTTTCTAAAATCAAATTAAACTTTATAGTGAAAAGCAATGGGCAGTTTGAATATAGAAAAAATGGCTGTGGTTAACTGTCTAGAGATCATATTCCATGTTATGCTTTTAAGACGTTCAGATGCAGGTATCTGATGTGGGAAGCCAATAAATTATTAATAAGAAAATATTTTTGATTGCACGCAGGGCTGCAATCTGAGATAGAAGCAGAGACTCTGAGATAAATCTTGCAGTAAACGTGTCCCTGTCCATGCAACATGATTTGTGATGCTGTCAGTCTGGCCGTTGTTTGTTTTTTCTAGCTGAACACACAAACGTCAGGGAATACGCTGCGGCACTAGATGGCTATCAAATTTTAAAACCAGATTTACTGTCTAAACACATTAGCTAACATCCCATGTTAATACATGCAGACTCTGCTGTTTCCAGGAGGAAATATAATAAGCCTTCTCTTAGTTTAGATACTGGTCTCCTGACGACACTGTGCCCTCTCAAGAGGACTGGACTTCAGAATAGCATGTGTGCTCAGTAGTGAGGCAACTTATGTGGTCTCCAATAATGAAACACAAATGGCAAAAGGTTTTTATCAAACTCCCCGCTGAGATCCTGCCTGAAATTTCACTCAGATATAGCAGTCGCTCCTCCACGTTACTGAGGGACCTACATTATTCTCTTACTACATATTTCACCCCAACCCTGACCTCTCTTCACATATTCTGAGCCTTACCTTCAATTTTGGGGTTACGTTGCTCTTGGAACATCTCTCCACTCCTGAGTCTGACAAAACGCAACAGAGGGGGGGGGATGAGACAGAGAAGTGAAAAAAACAAAGAAACTATTGTTTTCCTGAAATTTTATACGCAAGAGAGCAGTCGAGGGACTAGTGCAGATAGACAGCAATTTTAAAATGGATGTCATGTGTTAAATGTATAGCTCTTGCTGATCCAGGGGAGGGCTGTGTGCGTGCAAATGGAAAAGACACAGAAGACATGCTGACAATGCATTAGTAATTGTCCGGCCACAGAAGGGGTCTAGTTTAGGGCAGCAGTCAGTTGTTTTCCTAAGTATATACACGCTGCCTTCCTTTTGCTGCAAAAAATATTACCATGAGGTTAAAAGTTTGATGGACCGCTCTGTGTACGCAGTGATTGGCATCCCTTTGCTATCTTGCCAAGAAACTAAAATAGACCTCTTCCAATATAATTTCAGTTATTGTTATAGTCTATCATGTGAATAATACATGGTGAGCCACAGGGAGCCTGGTGGCTGCTGTGGTTGTGCTGACACGACGAGGGATGGGAAACACAGGGGGTTCACCCTAGCAAGGCTTTGGGATGATATAAAAATGTCAGGACTACAATAAACTGGTTTAGCTAACTCAGACCAGCAAGGATTGGTCAAATGCATGTACTTCTCTGAGTGTGGTCTCCTCCGTGTTGATGTGCTTCTCTTTCTCTCTGGATCTGCTCTCTGATGAGCCTCTGCTCCTCTTCAAGCTGTCTGGATCCCTCCTCCCTCAAGCGGGCAATCTTGGAGAAGGTGCACATAAAATGCAGAAATGTGAATGAACAGGTGGCCAAGTGTTACGTGACAGCACATGTTAAGATAACAGCTGTTGGAATATGATCAGCTTTATTACTCTGCAATTCTGTGTTTATGTCCTCTACTCAAGGAGGCTATACAAACCAGCTTGTTTCATCACTTAAGGCACTAATGCCTCGATGAAGTCAGAAAATGGAATAGTGCCACCTGCTGGTTATGGCCTCCTTCCTTATGTATATGCATGAAGCACCTTGAGCGTATGGAAATTACTCACAGTGGAAGCATGCACACCATTTTTATTTATGGGTGTTCTGCACAAACTGCACCGAGTCATGCAATATCACCTTAATGACCTTACTGATAATTATGTCTGTGAAAAAACAAAATAAAGAGAGGAGCTCTTAGACAGAGCCTTTGTTCGTGACCCAAGTATTTGAAAGAGTTCAACTCAATCAGGAAAAACTATTTGATGAAAAACAGAATGAAAGCACCAGGGTGTGCTTTAGTTTTCCTAGATGCATTTTCCAATACAGCACTTATACCTGCAGTATAGTGAAATTTAAAATTTTCTGCAGCCTCTTAAGGCAAATTGCAGCGCAGTATCTTTGCTAATGTCATTTCTATAAAATGCGATACCTCTTCCTCGAGTGTTCTAGTGATCTGCACTTCCTCCTGGCTTTGAGCTTCTGCTTGTCGCTCTCTGGCCTCCAAATCTGTCAAAACAACGCACACAAACTAATCCACATCTCCATCATATACTCATAGTATTGATTGACTGACTTATTATTATTATTATTATTCTTTAAAGAGGAAACAGTACTTCAGCATTAAAAGTTGATAATTAGAAAGAAACACAAGATAATATCACTAAATAATCTCTGGGATGCGGCAGAAAAATGACTCACCAAGTTTAATTTTCTTTCTCTTGCTATCTAGTTTCTTGTTTCTTTCTTCTGCTTGTTTCTTGGCAGCACAAATCTTGTCATAAGCAGCCTGAAAAAAAAAGCGTTAGACTTCAAGATCACTCCTTGCTGGGCTTGCTGTGTCTCGGTTTACTTGAGGGCTAGGATCCATATTAGAGGTTACAAGACACCAGCGGTCTTACCTTGGCGGCGGCATCAGTTAGCACCTCAAGAGCCTGGGATAACTGGTGGAAGAGCTCAACTAAAAGAAAGAAGAAAAAAAAAGACAGAATAAGAGCATTTTCTTGCATTACTGCCTTCAACTTTTATCTTGTGGGATATTACCTATAAAAAAGAAAAACGTGGCTAAAGGTTTACAAAAATTGAGTTGATAATTGTGCCAGTTTGAAACAAAAAAGACAGATCATAAAATTATACTGAAACGGGGAGACTGAGAAGGACAGGACACCTAATTCAAAAGCAGAGTTATGTCTACGAATGCCTCAAGATGATGGGACATGGAGCCAATACAAACTGCGACATTTGTGTCTCAAAATTTGCCGCAGGTCTCACGAAACTTGTTTCCTCCAGTGACACGGCCGTGCATTCCCCTGGCCCAGCCTGCAGCAAATACCACTACACCAGTTGTCATTTAACACACACGCACAGACAAATGTACACTGGGAGACCACAGTCCCCCCAGCTTGTCCTCCAAACAGCACATTACTGCACGATACTAGCCAGGCTTAATCATTCACTTATGGGAGGCCTAACAGACTGATACTGTTACTCCCTGTGGGGACTGGCATTGCACACTAACAGAAGGCTCTCGAGATCGCGCTGCCAGCGGAGGCGGTCAGGTTACCTACATGCATATAATGGGCTGGAATGAAATCCAACTGGGGGAAACCTGCCATGCCCACCAGGCACCTCTGAGTGTCACAATATGGGGTATTTAGAGGGGAGAGGGGATAGTGGGGAGGGGTATCGTCAATCAGTGAAGAATTGTGACCCCTATGTCACCTCTTACATGCAAACAACCCTCCCCTGAGGGGCAGCAAGTCCCAAGACTTGCTCCGCTCTCGTGCGATAGAGTCCAATTCTCTTCATGCGCGGGTTCGAGTGTTGAGGGCCTCCAAACCACTACTTTTCCATTTCTGGGAAACCGACCCCCTGCTTTTGTGTTATCCCTCTCAACCCTACCAATTTCCTTTTTTTCCTGACATAATCAGAAATTGCCTGAACCATCCAGAAGCCACATAAACCTAACTTGAAAACATACCTCGTGACCAGCTTCTTGTCCAAGGTGCATTTTTCCCCTATTGACAGAAAGCTATGCTGAGATTTTCTGGTCTAATTGTTGACATGCTGGTTGGCACCAAGCTGCAGAAGGACACATGAACCCAGGGAGGACAGAGTGTGGATGAGGGTGGTGAGGACGGTGATGCTGGCCATGTTTTTCTAGCTAAAAAGCTGGCGGGAGAAACATGCGCTGGTTGCCTTGCGACAGAGTGCTGTGGCCAGGACATCTGGCAGAGTTTAACGCTGTGAGAATGTGACTCTGGAGCATTCATTTTTGGCCCTGGACCTTAATGGCAACTCAGTGAGTGGTCATAACTAACTCCTCAGTGGCAACGGTCAATGCCTCAGAATGGAGACAGAAGACACATGAACCTGGGACACTCAGGGAGGGAAATTTTCTAAGGTTGTACTTCCTCCCACATAGCCCTCTAAAGGAGATGTATTCTCACCACTACACTCACCTGCTCTGAATCTGACAATTACCTGCACTATTACCAAGTGCGCAGCTAGTAAGCCAAGAGATGTGGATCTACACCAGAACTTCTATGCATCCAATCATCTGCATCTTTATATGCATCTCTGTCAGATAAGGTTTGGAGATCATGTGAGAAAACAGTAAATGCAAAACAAAAACTGTCTCACTCACCTGCTTTTGGGTTGTCTGGGTTCTTGTCTGGATGGCATGTTAACGCTTTCTGTCGATACGCTTTCTTGATCTGAAAAAGGAGGAGGGAAAAACTCCAAACATTACAAAGAGTGGAAAATGCTTGTTAGAACGCAGAAAAATGAACAATTCCCTCAACCTTCAGTTCTATTTATATATCCTCAAATCACAACAAGAGTCTCCTCAAGGTGCTTTAGACTTTAAGGTAAAGACCCTAAAAAATAGAGGAAAAACCCTAACAAACAACAAATGAGCAAGCACTGGCAACACTGGGGAGGAAAAACTCCCTTTTAGCAGGAAGAAACCTATTACAAAAAGAATAAAACAAAATGTAATGTCCCCCATATGAGGGCTCGGGGTCTTGGGAGGTTAAGCACAAATTTTGGGCACCGTGTAAAGATATAATTCTTACTGTGTATCAATAATTTTATAACGTTGAGTTTGGCCCAGAAGTCTAACTAAAAAAAAAAAGAAGTTATGGCCTCATTGAAATAATGCCAAAGACAGTAACAGCCTGACATAAAAACATCTGAGGTGAAATGTGGTCTTTAATGGAATTGTTTTGTTTGGATCAAATTGAAACTTTAAGCCGATCCTGTGCTTCGTGTCCTTTTGACATGCCGTTAATGGCTTCTAACCACTGTGGTACATACTGCACTGTACAAGAATTCAAAACTATTCTCAGGCTATTCCAGTTGTCAGATTGCAAGATAAATACGAAGTTGCAACCTAGTATTATTCTATCTTTATTTAAACAATATTAGATAGAATATGTCATAAAAAATGAAATCAAGCCTGACATAGTCTGAAAGCAGCATCCTTTGGCAGCGGGGGGGTTAATCCAAATAAGGTTTTAGTTATAGCTGATTTTTTAACTCTGGGTCACTGCTTGGAACATTAACCATTCATTGGTCCTTCTAGGAATCACTTAATGGAGAGGTGGTTTTATTAGAAGTCTGCTTCTTTTGAGAATGAAGGGAAACAGGAAAATTACCGCAGAGACCAGAGGGGGCAGTGGAGTCCAGCGCTTGAGAATTCTGCACAACCTCAAACGCACATGCTCATATACAGTACATGCATTGCATGCTAAAGTTTTGGCACATCCAACCCTCCCCCCCATACATACACATTAAAGAACAGACCAAACACAAACACTGACATGCACTTTCTCACCAGACATAATCAGTCATGCCAACATTCTGGATGTTTTCAAATTCTCCCTGTTAGCGCAAATCAATCTCCTGCCAGTATGCTTCGGGCCACAAAAACTGGGAGCCCCTTTGTTCATGTCTGGGAAGCGTTTGCATTGGATGCATTGTCTTCTGGCATATGCAGTGTTTCCCTGTAATTTGTTTTGCACAGTTTTATCTCTAGAACGCACGCCAAAACATACTGAGCTGACTTTACGGGGATGGATGGAATTGGGGGGAAGCACAATGGTGTAATTAATCAGCGTCCAGGCTTTTTTTAACTGCAGCTCCAATGACAGTTAAGTACAGTCACACATTAGACTGGATGCCCTCCATCCAGGGTGCAAGAGCTTAACCTCTGACTGATTATATGAACCAAGCAAGCCTCCAGTGAAGCCTCTGGAGATAACTGCAGCTCACACAGCTCCTAAATGTCAAAAGTCCTTTCTTCTATCTAAACTGGATTGGGGTTTTTTTTTTGGGGGGGGGGGGTTCATTATTGTTCCAACAGTAAATGAGAACTTGGTTCAGTGAGAGGGCTTTTTGAGAGACTAGACATCATTAGAGGATATTTAGTCTTGCTGCTTGGCACACACAGCGTTCCTACAGATTGCGACTGACACGCAGGGCTGTGGACTAGAACCAAACACATATGCTTACGGTTGGCCGAAGCCTGCTTCCCCTGTATTATCCTCGCCTGTCTATTTCTCACATTCTGTTCAATGCACTCCCTATTATACCTTTGTCCAACTCATTTTAAAGCTTTTTAGTAAGATACAAAAAAGTGAAGACTCGAGTTTCGCCTCAAAATTATACTCCTCTTCAACAACAGTTGCCTCAAGCACGATTCTTGTGATTATGCACTATATAAATAAAATTGAACTGAATTGCAAAGGAGTGAACTGCAGCTCCTCTCTGGGATCAAAACACAGCCTAAAAATGGGTCCTACTCTGTCCTTTTTCCCTCTACCACTGTGAGGAGTTGCTTACTGTGGATTTCCACAAAGTGCCAACCAACTTGCTCAAGATGTGCAGACCATGATTGAAAACAAGTCTACATCTTTCTTTCTTTTTTAAATCAGTGTTACATAATCTTCTGATGGTAATGCAGTTTAAGTGGAGACAAAAACAAGCCTGCACTGCATTAATGTCATTTTGACAAAAATTATCGTGCCTTGATGTTCGCTATATCGTACCTTGCAATACTGAAATGTAAAGGTGTGTGAGCTTTTGTTATACCACAGAGAACCAATGCCTAAACTGGAATAAAAACATATGTAATACACACTTTTTTGGAAGTATCAATCATGTCTGGAGTTGTTAGTAAACTGTAAAATAGGAACTTGAGGTAATCAGAGCTGTGCAATGTGCTTTCAAAATAGCATCAGTCTGTATTTGGAATAGAAAACACAATATAAATCATTTTTGAACATTTGAAATGTTAGCAGCCAAGATATGGAAGAGCTATGCCTTCCTTTAGCTTATGCCACTGTTGTAGCTCCATATATAGTTAAGAGCTCTTTTTCATTCCATATAAATGAAATGATATCTTTTTAAAAACAGATTTAGGAAGATGAAATGAGAGTGTGATCATTTTCTTGTAAAATCCCCCATAATTTAATTTCAGTTAGCTAACCATCTGGACCATGTGCCTTACCACTTTGCATTATCATTAATACATTAATGATTAGGGCTGGGCCATATTATACCGTTCACGGTAATACCGGTATAATGTTGGACAACGATAAGAAAATGAAATATCGCAATATGGGTAAAACGCGCATGCGCAGTGCCTTTGTTTTCATACGCACATGGCGGAAAAAGCATGGCGGCGAATGAGAAGGGCGAAAGCGGAACGTTGAATAAAAATGGATGAACCAGAACTGGTTTGTAAAAATGCTGCAGCTTCACTGGTGTGGAACTGGTTTAGCTTTCGTTCGTCAGACACACAACAAAGCACTATTTTTGGTAGCGCATGCTAGCGGGCCGTCGTTATTACCGTGTTGTTTGGAAAATACGGCGCACTTAAAATCAATCCTTTGATTTTTCTGAAAGTCGACAGAGCCCCTTATAATCCCGTGTGCCTTATGTATGAACTCTGGTTGTGTTTACTGACCTCGAAACGATTTTATGTGCACGGCGCTCGAAAATCTGTCAAATGTTTCAGTACGACTTTGCTAAGCTACGAAGCCGCACCGCTTGATGGATTGTCGGAGCATTACGGCTATCGTAGGCGGAGCCTCGCGGAGTGATACGTACTGTGCTTCAACATAATGATTACCGTATTGTGTGTGTATAACCTCTTTTAAGTTTTGTGGATATTATACATGGTTATGCTGAGGATATGTCGGCCAGTTTCCACTGGAAATGCCTTTTGGTTAAACTGTCAGCAAGGAATTTGCATTTGCACTGTTAAATTTTTATATAACTTTAATGCACATAAAACAGCTGCTTGTTTAAGTGAAAATACATTGATGGGTTTTTTTGCACTAATAAAGTTGTGGAGTTGTAAAGTATTTTGTCTTGTGTCAATTATATCATCGGTTATATCGTTATCGCAAATTTTCAAATTATATCGTGATAAATATTTTTGGTCATATTGCCCTGCTCTATTAATGATTTCTTTCTGTTGTAACAGGAGTTCAATCTTAAATTTTGTAGTGCATAAAGGACAGAGCACTGAGCACCGGCTGCAATTTTTTAATGAGCTAATGTTTTTGAACTTTTGGCATTTCTTATATTTAGATTAATCGGATTACAGCTTTCAGGACTTCCCTGAACAGTGAGGCAAAAATATTATTTTTCTAATGGGTTTTATAAAGTTGTTAATTGCTAAAAAATTAACTAAATAAAATTAAAAGAACATGATCCAATTCAAGTGCAGTTAAATATTCAACTATTGTGACAAACAATTCCCTTTTTTATTAATAAAGAAGAAAACTACCTTACAATCCCAGCTTTAAAAAAAGTTAGGATTCTACAATGTAAATAAAAAATGGAATGCAATGATTTGCAAATCTCATAACCCCGTATTTTATTCACAGAAGAACGTAGAAAACAAAGTCAGATGTTTAAACTGAAACATTTTAAATATTCTCTGAATAATATTAGTTCATTTTGTATTTGATGACAGCAACACATCTCAAAAAAAATGGGGACGGAACAACAAAAAGCCGGAAAAAGCAAGTTTCTCAAGAGTAAAGATGGGCAGGGCTTCACCAATGTGCAAAAAATTATCTATATTTTGTGGAACAGTTTCACAGTAATACTTGTTATTATAAAATTACTACAACTTTGAATGTCTCGTCATCTACAGTACCTAATATCATCAAAATATTTCGAGAGTCTGGAGAAATCGCTGTGGAAAATCATTATTGGATGCCTGTGATCTTCGGGCCCTCGGGCACCAGTGCATTAAAAACAGACATGATTCCGTCATGGATCTTACACCATGGGCTCAGGAACACTTCCAGAAATCACTGTCTATGAACACAATTTGCTGTTGCATCCAAAAATGCAGATTAAAAATCCTGCAAAGAAGAAGCCATATTTGAACATGATCCAGAAACACTTCTTTCTTCTCTGGGCCAAAGGTCATTTAAAATGGTCAGAGGCAAAGTGGAAAACTGTTCTGTGGTTTAACAAGTTGAAATATAAAATTATGTGTGGAAAACATTGCTCCCGTGACTTCCACACTAAGGAGGAGAAGGTCAGGCGCGTTATCAGCATTCAGTTTAAAAGCCTGCAGATCTGATGGTATGGGGGTGCCTAATGAATTGGCAGTCTAAACACCTGGAAAGGCACCATTAATGCTGAGATTCAAAGCAACATGTGCTCCCATCCAGAGGACATCGGGACAGACGTTACATATTTCAGCAAGATGATGCTAAACCGCATACTGCATCAATTCCAACAGCATGACTACATAATGGCAGAGTCTGGGTGCTGACCAGGCCTGCCTTTCACTGATTGAAAACATTCAGCGAATCATGAAGCAAAAAACACAACAAAGAAAACCTAGAATAATCAGGCAGCTACAATCTTATATCAGACAGGACATCATTCCTTTTCCAAAAGTCCAGCAGCTGCTCTCCTCACTTCCCAGATGTTTACAGACTGTTGTTAAAAGAAGAGAGGATGCTACACAGCAGTAAACATGAACACGTCCCAGCTTTTTTGAGACGTTTATTTGTTTATGTGATTTGCAAATCATTGCATTCCGTTATTATTTACATTTTACACAGTGTCCCACTGTTTTGGAACTGAGGTTGAAGAATAGATTACTTCCTTATTGAGAAAACCCTTAATTTCTTTATCACACAGGTGAATGTTTAACTGCACTCGAATTGGATCATCATTCATATGATGCACTGAGAAAAAGAGAAAATAAAAAGCAATACAGGCATGTCAGATAATCCATTAATGGATTTACTGCATTTACTTCAAGTTCTGGTATTAGTATGATTAATTTACCTTTCCTTTAAATGTATCATCACGTTTATGCATAAAACAAAACATTTCAAACCCTTTAATAAATAATTGTGGCTGCAGTCTTTCTTTACTCAGAAATACAGAAATGGATGCCAAAAACAGGGAAACATTAAATTCTAAAACAGGGTAACCAGAGTTCATCATGAAGATAAGTACGTGTGATTTGAAATAGAGGCAGCCTTTATAAAAATAAATACATCACCCGTGAGTTTATACTGTGTCCTTAATTCACATTCAGTCAGCTTCTCACATTCATCACCTGCACCTATCTGACAAGATAAACATGTCTCTGCCACGTCTTCACTAACAGCAGATGTTTGCCGTTGTCGGGAAGTACGTTTGGCCAGCCGAGCTGCTTGACAAGTACAACCTGTCATCACCAAAGTTGCTCTGGTGGAGAACAGCCATCTTGCATGTCATCATAACTCCCCTTCTCTCCAGTTCCTCCTCCAATCGTTTCCTTTTCACTCTCTCTAGGATCCTTCACGATATCTTGTCTCTACTGTGCCTCCGGAGCTGTTTTGTTAAATAATGCATGATTACTCCCATCAGTGCCATAACACGCAATCTTTAATTGATGCTGGAAGACCCTGAGCCCGCTGGTTCTCCACACTAGGAGCCAAAGCAGTGCAATCTTTAAGAAGTTGTGCGCATAAGTCTTCAATTGCAGGGCATCTTCCTATAGCCCTAATCCGGCCAATTACTCTAGCAATTATCTTTGTGCAGTTCACCGTGACCTTATAGGACTGGCTCTGAATCCATCAGTTGTTGGAAAAAATGAAAAACAGAAGAACTCCTGGACTAAAACCAGCTGCTCTCCCTTGTGCTTACAGATGATGAAAACTGTATTTAATCCTACTGTATTTTCTGTCTGTTGTAATTCAAAATATTCCACATTTTCATATGCCAATTTTCCTTGTTTCATGCATGAGACAGACTAAATGAAAGAAATCTCAACTATTTCCCACACTTCTGTTTGTCAAAGAATGAACCACAAGATCAGGGAAAGACTACAATCCTGGAGTAGGAGGCCAACGGTAGCCTAATAGTTAGTGCCTGGCAAAAAAAAAACAAAAAAAACAAAAACCAACATTCTCAGTGCCGACCGGATACCCATTTGCTTCAGTTTAGCTGCATGCTCACATCTTGTCCTCATTAAACCAGTTTTTGGTGCCAATTATGGCTGACAAACTACTGGTCCCAGTGTAGAAACCCTTACTGTGTAGATGATTAGCTGCCTGATCAGCCATGGATCCATCCTCATTAATAACAATGTGTGATTCTTTATGGGATATTATCAGCTAGAAGAAAATAATAACAAAATACTCCAGAGAAAGAAAGGTAAAAAGAAAAGTGAATGTAGCCCTCCACTAGCAGCTGAGCATGGACCTGGATAAACAGCTGTTTTTTCTGCAAGACACTGTCACGCAATCACTCAGGCCACCGACTAAACACTCGATCATTCAAGAACTTAGAGGGCCCTGGGAAGAGCATGTGGGAAGAGTAAACGAGAAGAAGCACGCAAAGTACTAGGAGCTGTTGGAGAAGTGCCAGGACAGAGGCTGGAAGATGCTCTGTGAGCCCAAAGAGGTTAGCTGTGGAGGTTTTGCAGGATGTTCACTCTTCAAAGTGCAAGCAACTGGGCGCTACAGGAGACGGAAGACAGAGAGCCAACCCCATTTGTGGCATCTGGGTGAGGAGGTCTGATGCTAAAAGATCCAAAACACCTCATGACCCCAAGAACCTCACTGAAGATGTATCAGGGAGAAACTGTAAGCACACTGTGGATGCATGTGCTTCTTAATGCAAACCTCACAGATCACGCTGGCATAAATAAATTAATATGCAGTAATCAAATTGTTTGAGGAAGAGCACTCATTTTGATTAATTCACTTAATAACAATGTAACAACTAAATCAATACACCAACCTAACTGTAACTGATCTGGCAAAAACATCATTATGGTTTAATCTATTTATTCAGTTATAACTGCTTTGTCTGCTTTAAGAGTGTATATGGTTGTATAGCTGTGGAATACATACTTATTGCACTAGAAATAAACTGCATAAAAATTGCTGTCCTGATTGCACGCTGATGATGCTCCCCAGTGCACTGCAGAATGCAATTATAATCTTAATGCACCTATTCTGACAAAGACTTGAAGAGGAAAAGGAAATTCATCAGTGGGGGCATTGAGTTTACAATGAACTATTACAATGCAATGAAATCACCTGTCCTTGGATGCTCTGAGTGGAAGTAAACCATTCAAGCGTGTAGTTACTGAAACACATTAGGTAATAGGTACATTAAAATTTAAGTAGCTGAACAAACCACAAGAAATTCTGTGTGGTCTTGGCTGTGGACGAGCAATCTGTGGTAGGTACAAGTGTTTAACTGGTGACTGGTCTTTAGAAAAAGCCTTCCGTAGCACTATAAGCATAACGTAAACCCCATGAAGTCATTAAATCATAAACTCTGAAGTGCCAGTTTACATAGCATTTATCAGCCAGCTAAGCGCAACGAAAGGTCAGCAGCAGAGACACTAAAGAGAAACAAGGGAACATGAAGTATGCAAATCCCCTACGTCAAGGCAGTGTTTTACAAGCTATGGCTAAAACCACATAAACAGGCTCTGGGATGAGCTTCTTCCTCTTTCTTTGATAAACAGTGTGCCTAATAGCTGGGATAGAGCAGCAGGCCAAAAAACTGGGTTAAGTAGCTCATCTGATGACATCTCTCTTCACACACTTGATTGATTTTTGAGACCCTCCCTTCTGACTAAACGCACTACACACACATGCTACAAACAAACCCACTATCTCTCTCGACCATCAACAGACCTCACAGAATCAGCCCCCCTCCCTTTGGAGCCTCAATTCTACCCAAGCCACAACCACCAACTTCCTTAAGGATAATCCTCTGGGGAGAACAGAACTTTGAATTCCAATTAAGAAATTAACTGCCTCCCTCATTTTGGCAGCAATTTTAATTTCCCTTCAGGCCTGTGGATTCGGGATTGTGGAAACAGTGAAGAGAGGTGGTTGCAGGGAAAATGCTTGATTCAGGGAATCATGGTGAACCACTCAGAGATGAAAATTTGAAGCGATGTTGGGGAAATGCTCCCAGGGTTGATTGCAAGAACAAAGAGAATTTTGCAAAATTCTGTTTCCAATATGCAGAAAAGCAAAAAACTAGTTTACCCACGGCAGTAACGCACATGTAATCAGATGTTTTCAGAACCACACCAGCTTTCAGGAGCTAAGTATGTTGATTTAACTGAAATTACAAAAAGATATATATATATATATATATATATACACACACACACAGTCAAACCAGTAACTGAATAATCACACCGAAATTATGGTCATAGTTTCACTGTAAAGGGATTTTATGTCAAGGCATAGTACTAAAGGTTTGCCTGATGCAACACCCCCACTCAGCGGCCTTTCAGAGTATCACAACGGTGTAAATGAACCATTAGCCGGTTGGTCTGTTAAATGACACGCTGGACCTGCATCTTTTATAGTTTTATCTTACGTTTATCTCACACTGTAAAAACAAACAAACAAAAAACCTCTTCACCATTTACACACACATACGATTAAAAGAAATACTAATCTTCATAGCAGAAAGTTATCATAGCCTCTTGCTTCGTGACAAAAATGTCCTAAGACAACAAATTTGTATTATTTATTACTTGATAATAAATAGTCTGGCAAATAAAAATAACAGGTTCCAGCTTACAATGCGTTACTTACAAGCATGGTTATCTTAACACGGCTATTTTTAACACAATGACTAAAGCTAGCTTTAAGTGCTAGTTTACACACCTCTTTCGTTGTAGCAGTGCTTTCAACGCCAAGTAAACCGTACAGATCCAGCTGTAGGATATCTTTAGCCTTTCCGGACATTTCTGCCAAAACGCGCTACAGTACCAATACACAAAAATAATAAATATACCACTATTTAAAACAGCTGTTTTGCTAGCTATTTAGCTTCGTGTTGTGGTTCCAGGCAGCATGAGTATGACGTCCTCAACCTTTCAACCAGGATGTGCATTGCAAACTGGGTATTGTAGTTTTTGGGTCTCCTTGCTCTTCTCTAGGTTCCTGAAAAGCTCCCTCACAGAATTTTTATTATTTTTACTGTAGCGTTTATTATTTTTATATCCGACAAATTTTTTCCACAAGTATTAGTCTTCTAAAATCTTTTGACCCATCTGTGGGCTCTTTAAGGGCTGTTCATGCGTGACAAATCCCACATCCAAAGCTTCACTGCATAGATGGCTATTTTTATCTTGCTGTCAGGTGTGAAATTAGTTATTTAGAACAATATCCTGCCTGGCATTAAAGGCCCACTGTGTATTTAACCACAAGACATAAACGGTATTTAACATTTTAAATTATTTATTTTGTTTAAGTAAAAGAGACTTCCTGTGCCATACTTATGTGCCTGTTTTCTATCAGCATATTGTTCACATTAGCCTCATTCTACTGTATTTTTTGATATTGCTAATGATGATGTTCGGGGATTAAAAGCCACATGTAGGCTCCTTGTTTAAATAAAATACTGGATTTCATTCATTTTGCGCGCGTACGTCTTTCCCAAGGCACCCTAATAACATTGTTTCGACATTTAAATTTGGATATGAAACTTATCCAAGCCCATCAAGATCAACGAGACCACAGCGTCTTCTGGTGGACGAATTATGTAACAGCAGGCAGCACAGTACAGTACATATTAACACGTTTACCTATGTTTGATTAAGTTTAGTCCACCAAGAAATGTGTTTACAAAAGCCGTGTTTATATCGATTTGAGGACCCAGGCTCCACCTTTATTTCCATTTAGATTCATTGTGTGGCCCACTAAACTGTCATTTTAGCCCATTAAACTTGCTCCATCTTGTCTCCGATGCAAAATGTAAACAGACACCTCAGTGCTACATGTGGTTTTTTTCCTGTGGATATAAATCCATCTGTGGCCTAATGGCATAGGTTTTACATATCTGTTAACCAAGATGTGGTCTGAGGCTGCACCACTTCCTGTAGGGAACTTCCCCTGACATGTACAAAAACAGCTTTCTTTTTCTTAAATTTTTGTGGGGGAAGTTTTTCGATGATGAAAAAGCCACCTGTTACTTACAAACGGTTTAGAAATATTGTGATGACTCTGTCCCTTCAGATTGTGTAAAAAGGCAGGCTTCTTTCAGTTTATAATGTCTTTGCAAAGCACAACTTTTTTTGTCCTTCAGGCACACTGAGGATAAACAGGACTGAAAAAGAAGTCATAAGATGTGGCCCAAGTATAAAAGGTTATCCAACAGGACTAGTGCAACAATGTTTCTCAAAGAGTTAACCCCAAGGCAGTGATTTCTAAATCATAAACTAATACAGTCATGGCAAAAAATAAAGTACACTCTATTTCAATTCTAAGGTTTTACATATCAGGACATAATTTATAAAAATCTGTTTATTACTGGGTCTTAAAATTGTTTAAGTACAACCTTAGAAGAACAACAACACATGACTTTATTACATTATTTGTCTGACAAAAAATAAACCAAAATGCAGAAGCAATATATGAAAAAATGAGGAATGTATTTGCACTTTGACATTGCTACACCTTGACTATTTTCTTTTATATATATTCTGTTGTAGATTTACTGTGTCCTTATGATAAATGACCCAATTTGAGCCAAGGTTTAGCTGTCAAACAGATCCTCACATATTCGACTCCAGAATACTTTGGTATACAGAGGAGTTCATGGTCGTCTCAGTGACTGCAAGGTGTCCAAGTCCTGTGGCTGTAGAACAAGCCCAAATCATCGTCCCTCCACCACCGTGCTTCACAGTTTGTAAGAGGGGTTTGTGCCGATCGATGTGTTTGCTTTTCACTGTGCATTATGACCAGACATCTCCACTTTGTTCTCACCTGTCAAAGCACCATTCCAGAAGTCTTGTGGTTTGTCCAGATGCAACTTTGCAAACCTGAGCCACGTGCCTTATTTTTAGAGAGAAGAAACTTTTCCAAACAAGCCATACATGTCTAGCCTTTTTCTAATTGTACGGTCATGAACTTTAACCTTTAACATGCTAACTGAGGACTGTAGAGTCTGAGATGTAAGTTTGGGGGTTTTTGCAGTTTCTCTGAGCATTGCACGGTCTGACCTTGTGGTGAATTTACTGTGACGTCCACGCTTTGGACGTTTGGCATCTGTCTCGAATGTTTTCCACTTAAGTGAGATGCTCACACTTACTGATGATTAGCACCTGACTACAACTTACCCTCTTAATCCCCCACTGTAGCACATTATAGCAGTAAGGGTGGATTTTCCACACACTTCTCTAATAGTTCCTTATTTTTTGTTAAGGACATTGATCTTATAATTAAATATAAATAAGTTTAAGACCCTGTAAGGACCTCAACACATCAAATGCTGAATGTGAGACGTTTATAGTCATCTGTAAAATATATGCTTGTGTTTAATGTGATGATGATGATGATAATGATGATGATGATTTTCTTGTAACGATGGGACAGGGGAAAGTGTTGCAATATGTAACCACATGATATACTCAAAGCCAAGGAGGAAAAGTCTCGATGTTTAATAAGCAAAAAGATTTCCCATTTTTGCTTAAATTTGAGGTGCTCAGCAGTTCATGGCCTCTGTTGGATTTTCCAAATCATGATGCATCAAATGTCTTCAATTCATGGCAGGTCAGGCAGGCCAGTTTTACACAAGACACCCTTTAGAGCCACAGTGTATCTCCAGTACGTGGTTTGTAATTGTCTTGCTGAAACAAGTAATTTTACGTATTCAGCATCATGTATCCAGTATATCCACTACCACTCCTCTGCATTTGTCCATACCATTTTAACCTTCCCTTTCACTCTTCCTCCTATCCTTCCATCTCTCGCTCTCTCTCTCTCTTTCTCTCGCTCTCTCTCTCTCTCTCTCTCTCTCTCTCTCTCTCTCTCTCGCTCTCTCTCTCTCTCTCTCTCTCTCTCTCTCTCTCTCTCTCTCTCTCTCTCTCGCTCTCTCTCTCTCTCTCTCTCTCTCTCGCTCTCTCTCGCTCTCTCTCTCTCTCTCTCTCTCTCTCTCTCTCTCTGCTCTCTCCCTCTCTCTCTCTCTCTCTCTCTCTCTCTCTCTTCTCTGCT